GTGAAAGACCGAAAGCTTTTCTTCTAAAATGAAGAAAACGAGGATGCTCACGTTTGACACTTTTGCTCAACATACTACTACAAGTTGCAGTCAGAGCAGTTAGAAAGAACAGGAAATGAAAAGCAGTCAAATCAAAAGGGAATTAGTAAAACTATATTCACATAATGTTATATGTAGAAAACTCTAAGGAATTCTCACACACACACACACAACCTCTTATGGTTAATAAATTCACCAAAGTTGCAGAATACAGAATCAACACACAAATTATGTTATATTTCTATATGTTAGTTATGCGCAATCTGAGAAGCAGATTGAGAAAACAGTTCTATTTAAAATAGTTTCAAAAAAAAAATATTTAAGACTAAACGTAATCAAGGAGGTGCACATCTTCTACACTGAAAAGTACAACCACTGCTGAAATAAACTAAAGACATTAATGAATGGAAACACTTCCCATATCTGTGGATTGAATCCTTAACATTGTCAAAATGACAGTACTAGTCAAAGTGATATTACAGATTCAACACAAACCTGAGGAAAATGGTCATAGGTAAATCCTTTTAATATAGACTGAATTCATTTTGCTAATATGTTGTTGAATTTTTTGCCTCAGTATTCATGGGATCTGTATGGATCTGTACTTTAGAACATGCCTTTTTTAAGGCAACGAATCAAACTTCAATAGAAAACAAAGGAACTATATAACTCAGACCGTATTCTGAGATCATATTGCAGTAAAATTAGGAATAATCAACAAAGAAGTACTTTTCTAAACCCCAAATGTTTGAAACTTTTAAAATAAATTTTAATTCATAGATTAAGAAAGAGTAAAATCGGAAATCAAAATACTTAGAGCTTCTGAATGACAATGAAAATTTGTGAAATGCAGCCAAAGAGGTTCTTAAATACTTAACATTGAGGTCGGCGTGTATGGACAAAAAGAAAGATAAAAAATTAACTAAATAAGCTTCCAGATCAAATTAGGGAAAAACATACAATAGAATAAACCCAACAAAAGTATGGAGAAGCACACAATAAATGTGAAAGTAAAAATGAATGAACTTGAAAGAAACATGTGGAAGGATAAAGAAAACCAAAATACAGTTCTATAAAAGGTGCTAAAGTAGGCAAGTCTCAAAATTAATCAAGAAAAAAGCACAAAAAATAGAAATGAAAATGGGTCACAGTTACAAATATAGAAATTAAAATATCATGCACCTACCATGAAGAGTATTACACTGTTTTTTTTTTCAAGAGAGTTAATGGATAATGATAAGAAAACAGTAAATTGCCAGATGACTCAAAAAAAAAGTGAAAACGAAAACATATCGATATCTAATCATTAAATTAGTATAAAAATCTGTCGCCTCTCAATTTCAATGCTTCCACCTCAATACTAAAACAACAATTCAAGCCCAGATAATTTTTTAGGTGACCTCCATCAAACATTCGAAGAAAGGATAATCCATATCATTTAAAAAAACTTTATACATGTTCCTAGAAAAAAAAGGTTATACGCTTCTCAAATTCATGTTATAACCTTGATATCAAACCCTGACAACACTACTACAAGAAAGAAAAATTATAGGCCATTTATGAACATAGATTTAAATATTCTAAGTAAAATATTAAACAGTTATTTCTCACAGTTCATTAAAATATTTACATTCTCATATGCTTGTTGAAATTATTCTAGAAATGTGATTATATTGGAAAAATTTTTTAATGTTATATTTAGAAATTAAGGGAGAAATCCACTTGATCAGCTCAATCTTTATAGAAAAACTTGTAATGAAAATGAAAATAGAAACTTCATGATTTAAAAAAATATAGTAAAAATGCTTAATAATTTAGAAATAAAAGGAGCCTTTAAATAGGATAGGTTTTTAATCAAAAACTTTTTACAAATATAAATAAATAGTTGGACATTACAAATATTTTCTTTAAATGTAAGAATAAGTCATGGACGTCTATTAATATCACGTGCTAGACAGTTTTCATCATATATTCTGGCCAGCACAAAAGATAAGAAAAAGAAATAAGGAATATATGATTTTTAAAGGAAAAAGAAAAACTTAACAAATCTTTAAGGAGGGATGTATAATAATTAAATTTCGCCTTATTCTTAGTGAAATACTGTATGAGTAAAAATGAATAACTTGGAATTGTAAGTTTCAGTCTGAATAAATTTCAAAAAATATACATATAAAAAAGCAAGTTAGCACGGATATTTAGGGAACTGTACCATTATGGCAAAAACTGAAATGAACTAAAGAAAACTATATCAACAACCACCTATATGTGGGAGAAGAGTGTTAAAATACATGCAAATGACAGTAAATTGAGAACAGTATTTGCTTGAATCATGTAATTGTCATTCTCGTAGATGAAAAATGGTTGAATATTAGGGGGATAGGATGGCTATTTAGCTGCATCTCTACGTTTGTATCTTAAAAAAACAAAAGTTTCAAAGCACTTATTGACAGAATGTTAACATTTGTTAGGTTCGGTTACCTTTTTATGTTATTTTCTATTCTTTATCCTTGAGATAGTTTTTTAAATTTTTTAACTCAAGTGAAAAGTGAAAGCGGTGGAAACACCAGGCATAAGCTCCCCAAGAAAACCGAAGAATAAAGAAAGAGGAAGCAATAGCTTACATACTTCCAGGGGAAATCCAGTAAGGACTCAGAGTGGAGTAATGTAGAAAAAAGTCAGACTTAGTATGAAAATATGCGGATACGATGCTGTAATATTTAAAAATAGCGGAAAGAAATAAGATATAAGAAAAAAAGTTCTGTAAAGGGATTAGCCTTGACAAAGGGGCGGGGCACCTTCGTGGTGACATGGACTGGGAATAGAAACGCCCACTGACGCAAACACGTTTAAAAGTGTTTGGGAAGCTGGGGAGTTTCTGCCTGGAGGCCCTGCTTCCCTGTTGCAGGAGCCCCTCTTTGTTCGCGTGGGAGCAGTGTACGGGGTCCACGTTCGAGGTGTGAGCAGAGTGACGCCTGTGTGGGGAGAGGGGAGGGACAGGAGAGGAGCGTCAGCAGGGACTGGGAGGAGGTGCCAGGCCATGCTGGAGGGCCCAGCTGAGCCCGCAGATCTCAGGACCCAGACTGCCGAAGCTTTATTCTCTGGAAGGAAAAATAATGCAGAACAATGAAGAACAAGAGTATTTAGGGAAGATTTATTTGGAATCTTTGGCTAATTTTGAGATCGATCTTATACTTAACTACATTTGTACTTATTGTCCAGTGATTTCCTTCAGGGGAAAAAAAAAAAAAGAGAGAGAAAACTTGCTTTTAGAGTGTAATTTAGGTACTGGGTAAGTCCCCTGGTTAATATTCATTTCAGTGGGATGGCAACCTTTTAAATGAGTAATACTCTTATTACTTAAGCGCAAAGGACAGAGAGGGGCCTAAATGAAATAATGCCTCTTCTGAAGGGGCCTAAGTGAATCTTTCGTACATTACTATATTAATTTTAAGTCTTTCAATTCATTCATTAGACTTCTGTGTTTCTGTTTGAGGATTATTCTTCATCTCTGTTTGCATAAAGCGACACATTTTCTATTTCAAATGCTCTTCATTCTTTTTTAAATTAACTTTTTTTTTTTTTACTGAGATATAATTCACCCTGTTAAGTACACACTTCAGTGGGTTTTAGTATATTCACAGAATTATGCACCGTCACCACTAATTCCAGAAACTTTCACCTCTTCTTTAATTCTTGAAGATAGAGGTTTCATCCTGAATTTCTGGCATCACCCCCCTTTAGCCTAAAAAATTTATCTGATGATACCTTTATTTAGTCTTCATTCTTGAAGGATATGCTCACTGAATATAAAATTATGAGTCGATAGTTCGGCGAGTGCTTATTCAATTATTTGCTCCCTTGTAAATTACGTGTTATATTTCACTTGATGCTTTCAAGATAGTTTTGTTTGTGTGATGGCTTTAGAATGTGTCAGTCTGGCTAGGCCGGTGCCAGAATTCCGTCCGATGGGAGGTTCTCATGGGCGAGTCTGAGGACCGAAGGGGAGCGCAGCCGTGTTGGGTCGCGCCTCACGTCATCGCTTCTCTGCTGGTTCACTTGGTTGGCCTGAGGCGGCGGTCGGGCCTGCACCTGTCCCCCCACCGCCAGGACCCTCCTGCGGCTCTGCCACTGCTGGCCACGGTGTGTGTCTAGCTCCATGACGAGGTCCGTAGCTCGCGTAGGGTCTCCACACCATCAAAGTCAGAGACGATAAGGAATGGCGTGGGTGTTGGTCGGTCCTCCCGGGCGCCAGCTCATGCGTTTCGGGTTCCACTTTCCCTCCTCCTGTTGTACGTACGTCTTCTCTCGTCATCCTGTCCTCGGGACAGCAGGGGCTGGCACTGAACGTGAGGACAGCAGCCTCAAGAGACCACAGCCAGCTCCTGCAGTGGAGTAAATTCCGATCCCCGCAGTCCAGTCACACTCACACACTCACTCACACACACACACTCACACACACACTCTCACACACACTCTCACACACACGCACACACACGCACACGCTCACACTCACACACTCACACGCACTCACACACGCGCGCGCACACTCACTCACACACACTCACACACTCTCACACACACATACACACACTCACACACACTCACACACACACTCACCCACACACACATACACACTCACACATACACACACACTTACGCACAGTTTTGCACATATATTTGTTATTGGGAAAAAGAATCAGACTGACGTTTCAGTATCCTCTTTCCACCCTGTTCTTCGGTTCTCGTTCTATTTCCCATAATCCCTCAGCTTTTACGCAGAACAGCCGGCCGCCCACATCCCGTGTGCAGACCGACAGGAAGCCAGACTCACGCACCTGATGCAGGGCTCAGCGGTCCAGCCTCCATCCCTGTCCTTCAGTCATTCGCTATCTAACGTTATCCTAGAACGGAATTTCTCTAAGTTGAAGTTTGTTAACAGTTCTCTTTCTTTCTCCTTATAGCTTGTACCTCCTTTTAAGCCTCAAGTAACATCCGAGACAGATACCAGATATTTTGATGAAGAATTTACAGCTCAGACTATTACAATAACACCACCTGAAAAATGTAAGTAACTCTGGAAGGCAATTGATAACATTTTAATACCATCAAAGAAAAGTCATTTTTTTTCATTATTTCCAAGATCAAATTCCACAATAACTTATTCCATTCTATTTAAGGATGGAGTTAGCTGAAAGAAAAGTTTTTCAGGTAGGAAAAATTACATGTGGAAAAATTGTAAACTGAGATTTCTAGACTAAATCATGGACGAATTAGCCCTTCCTCACTGTTCTCTGGTAGATTCTTTTGACAGCAGCGGAAAGGATTCTGAAATAGAGACTTTCTGTGTTTCCCATTCATACGTCACCTTCAGAATTTTGCCAATTCTAGTTTCTCACTTAATAGTTTTAAAATTCACTTTAAATTGAATTACTCTTTTTTACTTAACTTTGTCATAAGCAGTAATATCCATGAAGACATTATTTGGTTTGCTAATAATTTTTTGATGCATACAGATGAAATGACATCTATTAAAGCTATACATTCATGTACCACTTAAAATCATTCCTCATACACCAGTATGTGCCCCACACTTTGATAAATGACCTAAACAAGTTGGCTTTACTGGAAGAAAAGCTT